GGAAATGTAGACAATGAATATGTAAGTAAGCGCAAATGGAGAGTGTGAATGTAAAATACGCAAATGAATTCATTTCCACTTCGCATTGCACTGTTTGATGCCGTTTATAGAAGATAAAATAGAAACCTGTAAAAATTTGGTTCTCAAAAATGCTTAAAAGTACTCATAACCAATCTGCTTACAAGCGTCAGGAAGAAGCATATTTAGTTGCATATATTGTAGAAGTTTATTCTTTATTCTTTAGACTTTTGACTTCATTCTTTAGACTTTTAGACAAGATGAACCTTCAGGAGATTCAAGAGATTGAAATCTTGTACTGTGCATTATTTATTAATCTGTTACCTTTACGTTTTCCTCTTGAGAAAATATCCAAACTCTTTTGTGCTAAAAATAGCCGGTGCGATTTAAAATTTATTACGAAACTAAAATGATAGATCAGTTTTTTATTTTTTCAGTGCGGTGAGAAAATATTATACCTTCCTACCTGGAATATTTCACGTGTTTTATCAGACAAATTAAATAACTTCTATTTTTGGTTGAATTCAATTAAAAAATGTATGTTTTACATGGGTACATGTGTAAAAATACGTTTATAGTAATAAAATGTTTCTGCAGCAGGTTTAGAGTGATCAGACGTGAAGCGTTTCATTGTTTCATGTGAAAACTTCCCTTGTGCAACTTGAGCGCTCACGAGTGGGTGTGCGTAATTCGAGGGAACAAAAAAGCGGTCGACACCCGCAATTTTGTCGTTTGAATTTTTTAGCACTCGTTCGTTAATTAAAAAATTGATTCGCGTCACTTGGATGTTAAAGGTTTGGCGATGTGTTAATTCCAATCAAAATGTGAATGTGATTTTGTTTTTCTCTTTTTATAATCGCTAATGTGTTTATTTGTATATATTTTAAATTATAAATTGTATAATTGGTTACATATATAGAGTTATGCAACCAACTATACACCTCTGTCATAGTTGTAATAACATAACAAGGTTATAAACACATGAAATCAAATTTTTCGTTCTTTTAATTATTTTTTGTTAATAACAAGCTTAAAATTCAATATTTTTATTTATTTTTACTGGATTGCAGGTCTATAAAAACAATAAAATATTTAATTAATCTATTTTAAGAATATCGACATTTCAGTTAAATATAACAAAAAATCCCAACTTTGAGTGAAATACTCGACTCGTAAGGAAGGTGTGGATAATGCTATGACATGACGGGAAATCGTTGACATATTCGCGGTAAAGAAATCTAATTAATGCCGCGTTTCATTGGCGCCTATTAAATCGTTCACGATCGACATGGTGGAGGCGCGCAAGATGTGATTTATGAATGCAATGCTCGGTAATATCGGTTAAAAATTCGAAAAAAATTACAATGAAAATTTAAAATTAATTTGACGGGTTTTATTTTTAAACGTAGTTTAATACACTTTTCGCTCATCCTACGTGTTCGTGTCGATATAATTGAACAATAACATAATCAACGGGTATTCTCCAGCGAGAAGACAAGACGCAACAAGAGACTTGGTTTTTATCGCAAGGCAACACGGCGAAAAGTTTTGCGGGTGACATAATTCGATTAGCATTTTAATTGTTGAACGATAATTTAATTATTGACGAAAAGAACACAATTTTAAAACAAAAAACAAGTTAACAGTATAAAAAATTTACATTTTATAAATTCTTAATCGTGTTATACTATTTTCACTATGAGAGAAGTGTATAATTGGTTGCCTAACTAAAAAATACAACTAGTTGTACATTTTGTAAAGTAAAAACGTAATTATTCATATAATATTATTCATATTTCATTTTTGAGCTCTTGGGATGAAAATATAACAAGATGTTTATAATCATAATGCATTTAATTATAAATAATATTCAAAAATTCACATTTTGCAAATTATTAACCAAATATTATGCAATTTTACCTATAACAGAAGTGTATAGTTGGTTGCCTAGCTCTATGAATGCAACCACTCATATATTTTGTGTTTTCTAGGTAAAAACGTAGTTATTTACATGATATTATTAATAATATTATGGTTTATGATGAAAATATAATGTCATGTTTATAATTATAATGCACGTAATGCAAACATGAAGTGAATGTACAAGATAAATGCCTAAATAATTGTCTAACAGTTGTAATACAACGCAAGCAACAAGTTAATTAGTTCCTTGATAAACATTTCATGCGCCATACTTACTCATCTCGGTTATAACCCAGACACAACGGGGTGCGTTTAAATTCATTCATTCATTTCCACCCAACTCGTTTGTATTCCACCTAAAAAGCTTACAGATTAAAATTTGCGCTTGAAACATAAAAAGCTTTCCGAATTAAATAAACCCCAAAACAAACTTAAATAAATTTATTTAGGTATTTTTATCATTATTAATAATAATATAATAAAATTAAACATACAAGTATTTAATTTACGGTTTTAATTTACTGTTTCTTATCTTTTTTTAATTTTTTTTTGCTCTTTTGTGTTTGATGGTTGTTTTTGACATTTGTGAAAATGCACAGTAATTATACGCGCAAAAGTCAAGCAGATTACGATGATAATACGCAGATTTCCATCAGAATGGAGTATTTTGCACTCATAATGAAATATGAGATTCGCCGGCAGTCTTAGTGCGACTCACAATAAAATTTGCATTTCGGCGGAGCGGCCCCGTTAATGCCTTGTAAACAACTGTTGTCTAAGCATGACAATTTAATGAGGAGAACTCTTAATTCTTACTAATACCGCTTAGGATTAAGTGAAAAAAGAAGTTAAGCTTGCCTGGGACGTCATCAACCTCAACTGCTTATAATATATTATATTAATTAATAATAAATCTAACACCCACGCTCCAACTGCCAAAATTCTAGTCTAATATTTTCTTTGATTGACAATATAAGCTATGAATTAATTAATATTTATGTTTCCGTTTTTTTGTGCTTAAATATTACTTATTTATAGTTCGCATATAACTTAATGACGTGTTATAGGTGTAGCATTCATTTAGTTTTTTGCCACTTCAACTTTTTTCTCGTACTTCGTCGTAATACGCGTATTTGTTGTTTGTCGTCTGTTGGGTGTTTGCAAATTTTATCTTGTTTAGTCGTAAACTAAGTTTTATTGCTTTGCGTACCACTCGCATATTGTTTGGAATTAGTGTCATGGTGAAAGAATTTTATAATATAAATATTTTTTATTTGGGATGAAAATTTCGGTATAATTGTTCATGACATATTTTTATTCCAAAGTATGTTTTTATTTATTATTTATGTTCTTTTTAAAAATAATTTTTAAGAATTTCATTGCTTTGGCGTGATAAAAAGTAAAAACTGTCAATATAATAAAAGAACACTATTAAATGTGTATTTTGGGTTGCAGTCTAGCATTTGTCAACGTAGTTGTAACTGTCAACTGTCAAAATGTAACCAAACCAATAAAATTTGTTCAAATTGTCAACAGAATAAAATTACACTAATATATGTGTATTTTGGGTTGCAGCTATACGCAGTTATAACAGCCCACTGTCAAAATCCAACCTAATCAATCAAACAAGCTGAAAATAATTTAACTTTAAGTAAAAAATCAAATAAAACTGAAAGAAACAAAAATGTCAAAATAACACAACAAATAATTTTACTAAAATTCAAATATTCGAATTGTAAACATCAATTATTTATCAAATTTATTTCCCAATCATATAAAATATAAACATAAACGGATATTAATACCAAACAAAACAATTATTTACCCGTATTCACCACTAATTTCCGTTCAGTTCGAGCCTAATTACAGTTTTTGTGTATTTAATTAGTTAATTAACGCGTCACCTACCTTTTTCCAAAGCAGTCACGCTGCTTCTCCGCAATGTATCGCTCCACTCGTAATTTCCACGACCCGCAACACTAGTTGTTCATGTTTCTGGTAAAATTATTCAAAAAGAAGAAAGAAACAAGACATAATTGCACTCACTTCATACGGACTTTATTATTTTAATACACAGTTACATTATCATTTATAATTATTTATTTAAATGAAGTGTACTACATGAACAGTAAGAATATAGCATTTTTCTTCACAATGTGCAGATATAGAATAGACTCTGAATCTGGAGTAGTACTCCTAATATTTCGTAAAGAGACGTAGATATTTGTGTTTTTCTCATAGACGTGTTTGTTTCTTCAGTCAGCATCAGTCAGTATAATTATATTTACATACTTAATTACACATCACTTAATCGATAATTATATTATATACATTTTTTCATTTAATTTTTTCATTTTTCTTGCAACTGACAATCATATAGCTAATTTTTTTCTAAAGAATATTTTAGATTAGGTTTTGAATGTTTTTTTTTTTTTTTTTGTGTTAAAAATAAATATGTGATATGGTTTTCTTTGTTAGTTTTGTCCTGGGGGAATTTCCTGCAACAATACTAATATTTAGAGGTTAAGTTATTTAATTTGAAGTTAAAATAAAGTTTGGTTATGTTAAACTTTAAATAAAACTAATTTGACACCGGATTATTTCTGTGTGTTTCTAAACCCAAATCGCATTACGATGATTCAATAAACGCAAATAAAACTTTCGATAAAATTCCACTTTAGAGATTACCGCCTGGCCCAATTTGAAAATCACGCATTCCGCGAATATTAAAGGTTAAAGTTTTACTTGTTTGCGACAGACTGAAAGCTTATAATGCGGAAAGTGTAATTAAAAGTTCCCAGCGGCGTTCAAAATTAAATGAAATTAAATTTTGTCGTATTTTTTTTTGGAAAACAGAAAAGGGTACGATAGCCAATTGATACCTGTTGATAAAGTTAAGTACCTCGAGTGTCAATTGATGGCATGCGTAGTTTAATCCTTCTTGCAGTGATAGCAGGAGCAGCTGGTGGCGCTCTTGAACGTCAGAGTTCGGACGCCATCCACGCAGAGCACGCGTGCCTCCACCGGCTCCGTATCCATAATGTTGCAGCATTGTCCCACGGAAGTCACCGGCTGCGTGGGGCTTGCCTTCGGCCCTGATGGCACCGCCCAGCTTTCGCAATAACCGCGGCATGCGTTCGTCGTCATGTGGAACTCGACACAATCCGGGATGCTAATTTTTCTTGTGTGGCCTAGAGAAATAGTAAATAAATGTTTCCTAAGTGTATTATGTGTTGAATTTGTTAATAAAATTCGGAATTTTAATTGAAAAACAAGAAAAACATCGAATATCACATTTTAGCGCCATCTGTGTTCAAAATATTTAACTATATTTATGATTAAATGTCAATATTAACTTTAAACCTTAATTTTAGACTTAAAAAGTTAAAATTCTGCATAAAAAGTTGCCTATATACTTCTCCACAGTCAATAATATCTCTACACCAAATATTATTAAAATATTTTCAGTGGTTTTTGAGTAAAAGCGTCACAAACAAACACATAAACTAAAATTTGCGTTAAAAACCTAAATTATATTAAAATTATGACTAATTTCAATATTATTAACTAAATAACGCTTTTTCCTGCCTAAAAAAGTTTTTAAAACTAAGTTATCCAATCAAACAGTATCTATCAATGTGTTTTGACACAATGACATCCACGGATATTGATTCTGCATGCTACTAACATGTCGAATGTTAGAATGAGTGAAAAGTAATTTCCTCAAAGTCCGTCTAACAGATAATCGTCACCAACTATGCGCGGATAAATCCGGAATGTGCGAATCCATGCAAATGTCCCGCTCGTAACTTTTTCGCTCGTTAAATTATTATCGCAATGTAGTTAAATGTAATAAAATTTGACACATTAACCACACATTGATTGACGCACATTAATGGAGTTTGGAATTTCGCACACGTGATACTAACCAAACATAATAATTAAGTGAATGCTGATTAATTTGATCACTCACCGACTTTATGACATCCTGGCTTCTGCCATGTGTCGCGGGCGTTTACGGACGTAGACAGAAAGGCGTTGGAGAGCGAGATGGCTGCGATGAGGAACCACCAAGTCAGCATTCTGGAAAAATTAAATTTTGTAGGAGTTATTGAGATTTTTATAAAGATTTTCTGAGTGTTTGAGGGTTTTTTAAAGTTTTCGCACCTGAGAATATCAGAACGCGCCGTTTTGCGCTCGCCGATCACCTGCCGTCGTCCTTCGCTGCGATTGCACTATGTGCGTGCGTGCGGCGCTCGCTGCTCTTTGAATCTCCGCGGGGCGTCTTCGGCGACCGCCGCCGGCGTTCGCCAATGGCGCGCGAACCACCCCCGCAGCGTGAGCGTCATTCGCCGCCCGCCGAAAAATCTGCGCACCACGGCTGCGATCGTAATCGCATTGCGAATCTATCACCGACGTCAGCGGGCCGTGACACGCGCGGTTGGTATTCGCATCGGAAGAATTACATATCGCTTACTTTGTTTCAGCGGCGCGCTGTTTATGCATTTACACGCTTCAAGAGACTCTCAGCTTCATAATCTCTTAAGTCTGTTTGGCGTCAGACGCGTTATGCATTTCCAGTGAATTTTCAATGCGCGGAAGTGATGCCGTTTTACATTTTGCTATTTTGTGGCGCGGGTTTTGTAACGGCTTCAATGCGCGCTTTTTGCGGTCATTAATAGATTATGCACTCGAATATTAATAGAGCACGCCTACACTGTATTAAATGTAAGTTCAGGGAATTTACGCTTTTATGAAAATACCTGCGTGATGTAAACACAACTTACCTAATTAAATTATTATTAAATTTAATTCGCAAACATGCTTCAGTACTAATTTATCAAAAACTATTTTAAGTATTTAATTCTAGTCTTTGATACTTGTTTAAGTTATTAGTGTGGCGGTTATAAAGAAATTTAATCATTTAATTACGTTTTATCATTAATAATTTTCAAATTCAGCGAATTTTTAAGAAAAAACTAAAAGAAACCAAAGTAAAATGATAAAAATCACTTAAGAACTATTGAATAATAAATAAAAAATACTTTATTTATAAAATATGCTGCTAATAACAGTTATTTATTGCAAAACTTAACAAAAATTTAAATTTAATTTTATAAATTTGTTAGTTTAAGATATGCAACCCAACATACAATCCACCGAGCAACTGGTGGCATAATAAGACTGAAATAATTAACACAGCCACCACAGGTACACAATGTACTTGTTTCACCGATAATTTCAACGAAATAAATGTTGACTTGATGCAGGTAGGTTTATCAAACCGATAATTGCGTACTGTATTCATATAGGACACAATTTATTTCAGGTGACAGTTTCCACACTGTGACAAAATCAAAGTCAACCTGTAGCTTTCCCACAAGCACTTCAAATTATCAACTTCACCAAAACATCATTTTTTATTTGTTAACTAAATTAACACACAAACAAAATGATGGATGAACTAGAAGATGACATTCCGGATGAATTCAAAGGCACGCTACAAATCACACGCGATGTATCCAAGAGTGAGGATTTAGGGAAAACATCTCCAAGTAATGGCAGTGAGACTTCTTCAGTTAATGATAAAATTCTAGGCAGCAATGTGCATGATGATTCAACAGTGGAATCACCACCAAAAACCTTACTTACTAATATTACTGAAAAGAGTAATGCATCAACAAGCACTGCAGAAGTTGTATCAGTTTATTATTTTGTATTTTTTAGTCACTCCTTTGGTTAGGAGAATATCAACAGGTACCAAAAACTCTCTCAATGGCATCAAAACTGTGAACCATTCAGCAATTGCCCTGCAAGCTGAGACTGCAACAAATTATTTTACTTATCGTGATGGGATTATTGACAAGGCTGTTGGAGATTGCATCTCAGACATCATCTCAGAAGTGGATGGTGCTTTAGTTGGCAAATATTTATTAACAGAGTAAAGAAAAATTACAAAAAATTATTTATGACTTATAATTTATGTATTTATTAACTTATAGGATTAACCTATGGGATTCAGACAAGGAGAGATTGATTCTACTGATGACAAACTGTGTAATCAGTGTGAAGTATGATTTTATTGCGTTGAAAATACTTGAATATCGTCGAATTTTCCTTAAAAACTTGGATAATGTTGTGATTGGAGATTTGGTTTATCCACCAGGTTCATTAGTGCCGTAAGTATTAAGATTTATTTGATTTTTGAGGGAAAAAATGTAAAATTTGAATGATTTTGTGATTTGTGCACGCAAAAAGTCGTTTAAGTGGCTTTGCTGATGGATTGACCAACATGGTTCATAGTTGTTGGACGCAAACGCATATTAATCCTTATGAAGCTTTCAAGCCAAGGTTTGACACTACCACAACATAAAACAATTTTGTTTTATTTATATTTAAGTCTTTTACGTTTGATTTTTGTGTTTTTTTCTCTTAAATTATTTACAATAACTTAATTTATTTAAAATTTAGGGATCGGAATGCAAGAGGTGTTCGCCTAATGTGGAACCGTGGCGAACCGTTAAAATTCGCTGTAAAATGGAACCCGTTCAACGACGACGCGCCGATTTTCACTCTCACTTCTCATCCTTTGTACTATCACACCGAATGCAACGATGACGACCGCCTGATGTTCAGTTTTGACGAATTTCTGGATAAGTTACGTTTGATCATCGGACGAGAGAACTACGACAATGTTACCATTCATCATAAATCAATCGTGTTGCAGAATTATGTCGGGTTAAGTTCACTCATACATAATCGCAACACGCTTGGTTTCTTTAAAGTTAGGGGTAAATTTAGTTTCTGAATATTCTTGCCTGGAGCGCATTTAATTTATATATCTATCTGGCAACCTATCTAAGTCTTGTTGTGATTTTAAGTATTTAATATTGATAGTCGATTTTGTTGCGACTATAACTATACATTTCTTTAGAACTAGAATATATGAAATATAAATCTTGCAACTATTAAAGTATTGGATATAATATACTAATAATTTGGTGTAGAATAGACCTCCAAACCTGTCATTTCGTGAAGACAAAAGGAATCATCAATAATAAAAGCACGTTTGCTTCTTTTCTTTCTTTCGCCAACTTCACAGATATGAACAATTTGCCCTCTTTCGCGCAATTATGCACGTAGCGACTTAACCCCCACCACTTTTTGAGGGTTATCCGCCCAAAGAGCAACCCTTGGCAAACACAGTACTAAAGCGTGCTAAAATAGTTCAATAGTTCATTCGTACATACATAGGTCCTCTCCTCTTTCCTCTGTTTACATCATAAAGAAAGTTAAAGAAGTTAGCTGTGATAATAACTCCCAAAAATTGTTTTTCATTCAAATTGCTTTCGTGTCTACCTTAGAAATTAGTTCATGTAGATGTCGCTACAATAGAGCAATGTGTATTTGAGTTGTCAGCGGCACGTTGTGCAGCTGATGTAATTCTACCGATTTATTTCAGTAATTACGCGATAAGTTGAAATAACTCGGAGTATTTAAATCGTTCAGGTGAAATATTTCATCATTCACGATGGAAAACCATAGAGTGCAGGATATTCCTCGCGTGCCTGAATCAATCGACTTTCCTCAAGAGGAAGAGAAGATCCTAACCTTATGGAAGGAATTAGACGTGTTCAGAACTTGCTTAAAACAATCGAAAAATAAACCCAGGTACGTAAAAACTAAATCTAACTATAAAAATAAACATATTTAATAAATTAAAAACTAAAATATTTAAAATTATTATTCAGATATTCATTTTACGATGGTCCTCCATTCGCGACCGGCCTTCCGCATTATGGTCACATCCTGGCCGGAACTATCAAAGACGTTGTAACTCGTTATGCACATCAACAAGGATTCCATGTAGAACGTCGTTTTGGTTGGGATACTCATGGTCTACCAGTTGAATTTGAAATTGACAATGCCTTGGGAATCAAAGGCCCTGAAGATGTTGCCAAAATGGGCATTGGCAATTACAATGCAGAATGCAGAAAGATTGTCACAAGATATGTCAATGAATGGGAGAGCATCATGACCAGAATAGGCAGATGGATTGATTTCAAAAATGACTACAAAACCCTATACCCTTGGTTCATGGAGACCATCTGGTGGGTGTTCACTCAGATGTACAACAAAGGACTTGTCTATCAAGGCAATAAAGTAATGCCCTACTCCACTGCTTGCAATACACCATTGTCAAACTTTGAATCAGGCCAAAATTACAAAGATGTAATTGATCCAGCTGTAACAGTTAAGTTACCCATTATTGGAGATAAAGATAAAGCATCCTTGCTTGTATGGACCACAACACCATGGACACTACCATCAAATTTAACAGCATGTGTGCATCCAGCACATAAATATGCAAGAGTAAAGCAAATTTCCACAGGAGAATTTTACATCGTTATGGAAGCACGTCTTGAAGCTGTGTTCCAAGAAGGCGATTATGAAGTAAAAGAAACCTTCCCAGGTGCTAAACTGAAAGGTTTGGAGTACGTGCCGATTTTTAATTACTTCGCTGACCAAATGAAGAAACAAGGTGCGTATAAAGTCTTATTGGATGATTATGTCACTCAGGAGAGTGGTACTGGTGTAGTACATCAAGCACCGTACTTTGGTGAAGACGATTACCGCGTTTGTCTTGCAAATGGTGTCATCACTCGTGATCAGGACCCGATCTGCCCTGTTGATGCGAGTGGGAGATTCACATCTGCCGTTACTGATTACCAAGGGCAGTATATCAAAGATGCTGATAAGCACATCATTGCATATTTAAAAGCAAATGGAAGATTGTTTCATCACAGTCAAGTGAAACATAGTTATCCCTTCTGTTGGCGTTCAGATACTCCGTTGATCTACAGAGCAGTGCCTTCCTGGTTTGTACGCGTTGAACACATGTCTGAGGAACTGTTAAAGTCAAACTCATCCACATATTGGGTACCTGACTTTGTAAAAGATAAACGTTTCGGTAACTGGTTAAAAGAGGCGCGTGATTGGGCTGTTTCACGTAATCGTTACTGGGGTACACCTATTCCTATCTGGATGTCTCCTTCCGGGGATGAAATGCGTTGTATTGGAAGCATTGCTGAGCTGGAAGAGCTCACCGGATTGAAAATCACGGATATTCATCGTGAGAGCGTTGATCACATTGAAATACCATCTCGTATCCCGGGTAATCCTCCATTAAGACGTGTCCCTGAAGTGTTTGATTGTTGGTTTGAGTCTGGTTCTATGCCATATGCGCAAATGCATTATCCATTCGAGAATGTGAAGGAGTTCGAGGAGGCTTTCCCAGCGAATTTCATCGCTGAAGGTATTGATCAGACCAGAGGATGGTTCTATACTTTGTTAGTGGTGTCCCAATGCTTGTTTGGTAAGGCTCCGTTTAAGAATTTGATTGTAAACGGCTTGGTTTTGGCTAGTGATGGACAAAAGATGTCTAAACGTAAGAAAAACTATCCGGATCCATTGGAGGTTGTTAGGAAATACGGTGCTGATGCGCTTAGATTGTATTTGATTAATTCACCGGTGGTACGTGCGGAAAATCTGAGATTTAAAGAGGAAGGTGTTCGTGATATCGTGAAAGATGTCTTCCTGCCTTGGTACAATGCATTTAGGTTCCTTTTGCAAAATGTGGAATCTTATGTGGTGGATAATAAGGTTCCATTCAAGTATTCGGAAGTAGACATGAAGAGTACTAATATAATGGATAGATGGATCTTGTCATTCACGCAATCATTGCTTGATTATGTCAGGAAGGAAATGGCGCTGTATCATTTATACACTGTTGTGCCACGACTTACGAAATACATCGATTACTTGACTAATTGGTACGTACGCATGAATCGCAAGCGTCTAAAGGGTGAAGGTGGCCTTGAAGACTGTCGCCAGGCTTTGTTCACTCTCTTCAATGTATTGTTGAATATTGTTAAGATGATGGCGCCGTTTGCGCCTTTCTTGGCTGATAATATGTTCCAATACTTGAAGAAATTGACCGATGAGGAAGCCGACAGTGTTCATTACCTTATGCTACCAACTCCCAATGAAACATTGATCAATCTTGATATTGAACGAGCTGTGAGCAGGATGCAAAGCGTCATTGAATTGGGCAGAGTAATTCGCGATAGGAAAACAATCCCTATTAAGTATCCGCTTCCGGATGTGGTTGTTATTCATCAGGATTCTAAATATATTGATGATGTTGTATCTTTGGAGCCTTATATTCTTGGTGAGTTGAATGTTAGGTCAATGACAACCACAACTGACAAGAGTAAGTACGGTGTGACTTTAAGAGCTGAGCCTGATCATAAAACATTGGGTTTGAGGCTGAAGAATGATTTTAAAGCGGTTACCGCCGCTATTAAAGCTTTGGGTGATAGTGAGATTAATCAGATGGTGCAGGATGGTCACAAAATGATCTGTGGACATAAGATTGGCATCGAGGAAGTCCGATTGATCTTTAAATCTGACGACGTGACTTCATCGAAGTATGAGGTGCATAGTGACAATGATGTTTTGGTCTTGCTGAATGTGACACCGGATCAGTCTATGCAGGATGAGGGTACTGCCAGGGAGATAATTAATCGTGTGCAGAAACTTAGGAAGAAGGCGCAACTTGTGCCCACCGATGAAATTACGGTGTTTTATAGCACGAATGGTGACTTGGCACGTGTTGCTAAAGAGTTTTCTACGTATATTGAAGAAGCTATCAGAGCGCCTTTCAAATTACAAAAAGATAGAACATCGCAAGACTCGTTAATCATGGAAGAAACGCAGAAATTGAAGGATAGCACCTTGACGGTGCAACTAACAAAGATATCTAATTGTGTTGTGCCTAGTTGTCCATGGGTTAATGTTGAGTTGGTTGGAATTGAGCCGAGATATGGTCGGAAAGGTACCAAAGGGCTGGTTTTGTTGCAAAATTCGAGAAAACAGAAGTTGAGTTTTGATGATTTTGCACATGAAGTTGGATGTTTGTTTGGTATACCATGCAATTTTAATTTATTTGACAACAAAGGTAAAGTCGTCACCAAGGATGCGTTTGCCAATGCAAGTGGAAGCACTATTTATGTAACGAGAAATGAGAGTTTAGAGACTAGGTCTGCTAGCTCAGAGCCATTCTGTAAAGTTAAAAATGTAAATGGTAGAGTTTTGGTTTTGGAGAACCCGGCGGGATGCCCAACGAATGTTAAAGCGTGAAATTGTCATTTTGTTTCAGTTATTTAGGATAAGTTGTTTTCTTGATGAGTATTATGATGAATACATTTTCAATTGAAGTAAATATATAATTAAAACTTATTCGTAAGCTACAGTATGAAGATGAGAAACTTTAAACAAGTGAATTAATTCATGAGATACAAAGCGTTTTCCACTCGATAATTTAAAATTTTCGAAAAATTATGATTTTTAAAGAACATTTTTTGAACATTGTCATTCTTTGAGTGTTTAGGACATTAAAAGTATATACATAGTGTAAAGGGACCGTTAAACTACAGTACAATTGCGAGAAAATCAAAAGAAGTACATTAGTTCAGTACTTTCTCTACAAAATGTTTTCAATTGCTAAAGATTCGTTTGTTTTGTTGCGGCCAATCGACGCGCAGCGTATTCACCAACCCGTCCGGTATGTCAGTTGTCTCACGTTGTTTTTTAAACATAACCCTACAAATCAAGCATGCCTGTCAGGCATGTTTCTTAAAGTTTGTAAGTTGTGAATTTCTCATGAGTTAAGTTATGTGTTGTTAAAATAACGTGATAATGGTAAAAGTTAAGAATAAGAAGCGCAGTGGCGCAGACAAAATCTCTTCCAAGAAAGAAACCGCTCGCAAAAAAGTATTGAATCCGTTTGAGGTTCACATTAATAATGAGAAAATCAAAGTGCTTGGGAGAAAACTTAAAAATGATCGCGGTTTACCAGGAGTTGCTCGAGCTAAAGCCCTGGCGAAACGCAAACATACATTGCTACCCGAGTACAAAATGCTAAATAAAAGCAATACATTTCATGACAAGAGAATAGGTGAAAGAGATTCAGGTTTATCTGCTGAAGATAAGAGCATGGCAAGGTATACAGCTATGAGAGTCAAGCAGCACAATAAAAAGAACATCTTTAATCTTGCTGATGATGAGGTGCTCACACATAAAGGACAAACACTGAGTGAAATTGAAAAGTTTGATGATCCAAAGTCTGAGGATGAGGATGAGGAAGACAGTGGAAAATTAGACTCCAAGTTTGTAAGGGATGTGCATTTTGGTGGTGGCATGTTGAAGAAAGCAGATGGTGCCAAGTCTCATAAGGATTTAATTGAGCAGTTGATTATTGAAAGTAAAAAGAGGAAAGCAGAAATGCAGAAGCAAAAAGAAGCAACAGTGGAGTTGACTGAAAAGTTGGACTCGGAGTGGAAGGATCTGCTTCCCTTGGTTAACAAGAATAAGAAGTCAAGTGAAGTTGACACCAAGGTAGAAGTGGATGATTATGACAAAGTGATGAGAGAGCTGAAGTTTGAAGCTAGAGGTACTCCATCAGACAAGTTGAAAACTGAAGATGAAATTGCTAGAGAAGATAAAGAAAAATTAGAGAAGTATGTTTATAATTAAAAAGTTTCTTAAAAACACATTTTAAATAATTTATTTGTCTTCTAGATTGGAGCGTGAAAGGTTGGAAAGAATGCGTGGAGTATTCGATAAACCGAAAACTTCCAAACATAGAAGCGCGGATGACTTAGACGATAATTTTGCGTATGATGACGAAGAAATTGAAGACGTTACACTGTCTTATAATCAGGAAGGCAAATCGAATGTTTTGTTAAATATTAAAATCAACAATAAAGATGAAGATGCTATTGATGGTGAAAGTAATGTTTTTGACCCTGACGGTGACAATGCAGACGATGATAATGAAGATGATGATGAAGAAGACGATTCAGAAGCTGAAACTGATGATGATTTATCTGATTTAAAAGCATCAGACTCAGAAAGTGAGGATGAACTGGAACAGATAAAAGAAAAACAAAAAATCTTAGTGGAGGAGGAAGAAGAAGTAAAAGAAGATGATGAATTGGAGCGATCACAAGAGGAAGAAGAAGAAGATGATGATGAACAGGAGCGAGCAGAAAACGATTGCGATGATGTTGAATTGCAGCAAACTGAAGAGAAAGAAGAAGAAAGTGATGATGAACAGGAGAAGGCAGAAGAAGAATTCGAAGATAATGCACTAGAGCAAGAAGATGATCTTGAGCAGTCTGAAGAAGACCAAGAAGATGACAATGAACCAAAACCAACATCAATACAACTAACTAAAATGGTAAAACCTAACAATTCAGATGAAACTTCTACGATTCCTTCTACTAAAATAAAAAGGTGGAATACTAAAAAACACAAATAAAGAACCAATTGAAGATAAACCAGTAACTCCGAAAACTACCGAAGAAATAAAAGAAGATCTCATTAGAAGAAAAGAAATAATGGAAGTAGCTCGCAACGAATTACCCTACACTTTTAAATTACCAGAAAATTACGATAAACTCTACGGTAAACTACACGGTAAATCTCCAGAACATCATGCCGTTATCATTGAAGGAATGATCAAATGCAATCATCCCAGTCTTAAGAAGAGCAAACAAAAGATGCCCGGAATGTTATTCGTTTATTTATTGCAGTATTTTAACGATTTATGCACTGAAATGAGAGTGAAGTCGAGTTGAAAAATATGTTCCAAATATTCTTCAATTTGACGCCATTTTATATGATTTAGCAGATTTAAATCTTGAAAATGCCATTGGATTTACAATTTATATTTGAGTTGACATGTTTCGCCCAGAGGGCATCTTCATAAACTCTTCATAAACTCTTCATAAATGTTTATGAAGATGCCCTCTGGGCGAAACATGTCAACTCCAAATATAAATTGTAAATCCAATATTCACGAAAAATTATAAATAAATAAATATTTCAAATATGAAGTAAATATATAATTAAAACTTATTCGTAAGCTACATTATGAAGATGTGAAACTTAAAACAATTCACGAGATACAGAGCGTTTTCCACTTAATAATTGCAAATTTTTCGAAAAATTCTGATATTAATGGACATTTTAAGTCATTCTTTGGGTGTTTAGGACATTAAAAATATATACATAGTATAAAGAGTCTGTTAAACTACAGTATAACTGGGAGAAACTCAAAAGAAGTACATTAGTTCAAGGGATACGGGGCGTTCTCTACAAAATGTTTTCAATTGCTAAAGATTCGTTTGCTTTGTTGCGGCCAATCGACGCGCAGCGTATTCACCAACCTGTCCTGTATGTCAGTTGTCTCACGTTGTTTTTTAAACATAACCCTACAAATCAAGCATGCCTGTCATGCATGTTTCTTGAAGTTTGTAAGTTGTGAATTTCTCATGAGTTAAGTTCTGTGTTGTTTAAATAAAGTGATAATGGTTAAAGTTAAGAATAAGAAGCGCAGTGGCGCAGACAAAATCTCCTCCAAGAAAGAAACCGCTCGCAAAAAAGTATTAAATCCGTTTGAGGTTCACATTAATAATGAGAAAATCAAAGTGCTTGGAAGAAAACTTAAAAATGATCGCGGTTTACCAGGAGTTGCCCGTGCTAAAGCTCTGGCAAAACGCAAACATACATTGCTACCAGAGTACAAAATGCTAAATAAAAGCAATACATTTCATGACAAGAGAATAGGTGAAAGAGATTCAGGTTTATCTGCTGAAGATAAAAGCATGGCAAGGTATACAGCTATGAGAGTTAAGCAGCACAATAAAAAGAACATCTTTAATCTTGCTGATGATGAGGTGCTCACACACAAAGGGCAAACACTGAGTGAAATTGAAAAGTTTGATGATCCAAAGTCTGAGGATGAGGATGAGGAAGACAGTGGAAAGTTAGACTCCAAGTTTGTGAGAGATGTGCATTTTGGTGGTGGCATGTTGAAGAAAGCTGATGGTGCCAAGTCTCATAAGGATTTAATTGAACAGTTGATTATTGAGAGTAAGAAGAGGAAAGCAGAAATGCAGAAGCAAAAAGAAGCAACAGTTGAGTTGACTGAAAAGTTGGACTCAGAGTGGAAGGATTTGCTTCCATTGGTTAACAAGAATAAGAAGTCAAGTGAAGTTGACAGCAAGGCAGAAGTGGATGATTATGACAAAGTGATGAGAGAGCTGAAGTTTGAAGCAAGAGGTACTCCATCAGACAAGTTGAAAACTGAGGATGAAATAGCCAGAGAAGATAAAGAAAAATTAGAGAAGTATGTTTATAATTAAAAAGAGTTTTTTAAAAACAAATTTTAAATAATATTTTTTTATAGATTAGAGCGTGAAAGGTTGGAAAGAATGCATGGAGTTTTCGACAAACCGAAAACTTCCAAACATAGAAGCGCCGACGATTTAGACGATAATTTTGCGTATGATGACGAAGAAATTGAAGAGGTTACACTGTCTTATAATCAGGAAGGCAAATCGAATGTTTTGTTAAATATTAAAATCAACAATAAAGACGAAGATGCTATTGATGGTGAAAGTAATGCTTTTGATCCTGATAATGACAATGCAGATGATGATAATGAAGATGATGATGAAGAAGACGAATCAGAAGCTGAAACTGATGATGATTTATCTGATTTAAAAGCATCAGACTCTGAAAGTGAGGATGAGTTGGAACAATTAAAAGAAAAGCAAGTAAAAGTGGTGGAGGAGGAAGAAGAAGTAAAAGAAGATGATGAATTGGAGCAATCACAAGAGGAAGAAAAAGAAGAAGAAGATGATGAACAGGAACCGACAGAAAACGATTGCGATTTTGAATTGCAGGAAACTGAAGAGAAAGAAGAAGAAAGTGATGGTGAACAAGAGCAGGCAGAAGAGGGACTTGAAGATAATGCATTAGAGCAAGAGGATGATCTTGAGAAGTCTGAAGAAGACCAAGAAGATGACAATGAACCAAAACCAACATCAATACAATTAACTAAAAAGGTAAAACCTAACAATTCAGATGAAACTTCAACGATTCCTTCTACTAAAATAAAAAGTGGAATATTAAAAAACACAAATAAAGAACCAATTGAAGATAAACCAATACCTCCGAAAACTACCGAAGAAATAAAAGAAGATCTCATTAGAAGAAAAGAAATAATGGAAATAGCTCGCAATGAATTACCCTACACTTTTAAATTACCAGAAAATTACGATAAACTCTACGGTAAACTACACGGTAAATCTCCGGAACATCATGCCGTTATCATTGAAAGAATGATCAAATGCAATCATCCCAGTCTTAAAGAAGGCAACAAAGATGCCCTTGGAATGTTATTCGTTTATTTATTGCAGTATTTTAACGATTTATGCACTGAAATTGAGAGTGAAGTCGAGTTGAAAAATATGTTCCAAATATTCTTCAATTTGACGCCATTTTTATATGATTTAGCAGATTTAAATCTTGAAAATGCCGCGACAAGTCTAGTTGAAGTCATTAAAGAGAAACAGGGTGAGTTTAGGGGAAAGAAGAGTTATCCAGGCGTTGAGGTGTTGGTGTACTTGAAATTGGTGGGTTGTATTTTTTCTACGTCTGATTTTCAACATCATGTTGTCACACCGTGTGTGATGTTTATGGAACAAATGTTGTTCAGGTCACGTGTTAAGACCAAGCGTGATATTGCGTATGGATTGTTCCTTCTTTGCATACATTTAGAGGTGAGTTTTTGTATATTTTGCAATGGCTACAAAGAATTGGTTTTTATTTGATGTTTTTTGTCTCTAAATTTATTTTAGTATACAAAATTGTCGAAACGTTTTCTACCAGTAACAATTTGTTTCCTGAATGGGATTATCCACATGGCGATACCAAAAAGCACTGTAAAAATACTGAAAGTTTTACCACCGTTCAAATCGCAATCATCGCTTTTAGTTATGACTGATCATTCAACTTTAAACATCCAATCACCGAAAATGAACGTGATTGATTTGTTAAAAACTGATGAAAACTCTGAAATCACCGAAGATTTCAAACACAACACACTGCACGTGGCAGTTTCCCTCTTAAAAGACTTCTATACACAATTACTAGATTTACCATCTTGTTATGAAATATTTGAACAGAGCTACAAATATTTACAACAACTTCCATTAACATACTATAATGATATTTTATCTAATGAAATACGAAATTTTATTACCACCATTGAAGAGTACAAAGGCAACAGAAAGTTGGAGTTTTTGCAGTTGGATAAAGTGAAACCAAAAGCTTTGCGATTGTACGATCCTAGTATTGAGAAGGTTTATGATGCCAAGAAACATAAAGTACAGAGTAAAGAAAAGGCAGAACGCGATAAACTCATATACAAACTGAAAAAGGAGAAGAAAGGCGCAATGCGTGAAATACGCAGAGATAAAGCCTATTTGGGACGTGTTAAGTTGGATAGAAAGTTACAAAGGTACGATTTGATAATAATAACAATAGTGGATGAAAGTATTTCAATTATTTCTTGTTTATTTATAGCGATGCCGAACGAAGGGACAAAGTTAAACGCATCTTCTCCGAAGCGGCTATGCAACAGTCCGAGCTTAATGCCATGGACAGAGGCAATAAACGCAAGAAGAAATAAGGTAATATTTGTTTATTATTTAATAAATATTTTGTAAATTAAATTAAATTCCTATGTAACCATATATTAACTGATTGTTCAATCAGTCCGATGACAATACAGATGTTGATGGTGCATACATAACATAACCCCAAAATGATACTACCTGTTTAAAGAACTTTTATTTTATAAATAATTTAATAACAATAACATGGATATAATAGCTCAATATGTTTTGCAATACAAGTAAATTAGTCTTGTGGTTACTACGAATATAATTTCGAGTGATTGATAATATTACCTAACGTCATATACCGCCCCGCGCCGACTAACCTCAATTCGTATCTCTTCATGCTGCTGGTAATGACGTCCATTAGGTAAAATCATTTTTATAATGTATTTAAAAGTTAGAAACATTTAAAAATGCTATGCATATCATTTTAAATCGTGTATTACGAGAATGTACTAATAATTTTTGATTACCACATAGTTTTGCCGCTTCCGTCACAAACTTACTAAAATAATAGATCACTAGCATTTAAATGTAATACTGCCACTTGAATAATTGGTTCTCAAACAATAGCGAAGACGAGTTTTTATCGTTACAATGACAGGCTACATTCGTACTGTTTAAGTGTGTCGATTATAATTTGACTAGGCTGGTTCTGAGATTCGGAAACAAAAATATTAAAATATTCAAGTAAAAAAGTTTGACTAGCCGTACTGCTGGATTAAGAAATACATACCCGATAAATGCACAAACACACAGAGAGACATTCAAAAACGAAAGAGCGTTTACGTCTAACAGGAATTATAAAAATCTCAACGGTGCAATTTGTTTTTTCTTTTTGATAAAACATTGGTTAAAGCATTTGTATACTGCCACGCTAGAGCTCTCGCATCATCGTCAGGCACGCACGCGCAATTTGAAATGTGTAACAATCACACGATATATTCGCTGGAAAGCAACAGAAATTTATCTCACTGGGGTTCATCACTCGCGCGCGTAGAAATAATTGATGGCTCTGCAGAGGTCGTAATCCGCGGCGAGGACCACCTGCACCAAGATGTCGTGTGATGCAGTGTCGCCGAGGATGTCGCGCATCTGCAGGATGCATTGCTGCAAGCGCGCGGTGTCCTGACTAGGGAGATCTTCGACTGAACAGATACGGGAGTGTAGCTGTAAGCAGAAAATTCTAATCTTTAAGTTGAATTTCTATGTATCCACGCAAATATCTTAACATACCTTTTTGGAATTATCCGCGATCGCTTCGTCTGGAGTGTCCGTATATGTTTTTCGATTATTCGGAGGATGTGACCATACAGAGTCGAAGATTTCAGCTTGGAGAGCTATTGGTAACTCGTAGAATAGTTCGCTTTCGGTTAGTTCTTGATTTTGGGCGATGAATGCGATACAAGCATTCTGAAAGTACAAAAAATAATTATTTACACTTAAAAATGAAGTTTAAAAGTACTCACGCGTAATATTCGTGCATTAAACTGATCAGCCATGCTTAAGTAATACAACGCTGATTCCATGTCGATGCTGGCTTGCAAAGTGCTTTCGCAAACTTGTTTTAACGAATCTACTTCGTAGCGGTCGCTCAGTAATAACAAATCAGACCATTGTTCAGTTGACAAACCGAGCGACTCCTCTATTCGCCCTCCGTATAAGTATTCAAGAAATACTCTAAAGAGGAACGGTGAAGTATCATGAATGATAATCTTCCGATCGATGGATTCTCGCATTCCGGACTGTAATGCGCGCCGGAACCAGTCGCATCTCGCTGCGACAATAACACGATGCGCTTTGATGCAAGTCGATTCTTCGCTGCCGCCATCTTGCGTAGTTTCATCATCTTGATTGTTCGGTGAAAGGACTTCGAAAACCATATCAGTGCCTGTGCCGGTTTTGAAGAGATCCAGAGATCTCTTCGCTAAATTGCTTTGTTTCGCGATCGGAGGCACATATAAGGTGTTTACCAAGTTAAACTATAAAATATTTTATAAGTTTAAAGATTTATAAGGAAATTTTAAAGCCTAACCTTGTATGATTGTTGCTGTTGTTGATGTTTAGGCGTTGAAATTCGTTTCCTTTCTTCTTTAGCTTCGTCGACGACTGTTGACGAACTTGGTACCTCTAATAAGTCGAGTTTTTGGAGTGCTTGCATGAAAGTATCACGTTGGACTAATTCGCACACGTGCAATAATAATGCTTGTAAGACTTTGCGATGTTTTACCAAAGTCTCCAGAATACCAGCCTAAATAATCAAATCAAACATTAATTTTACTTCAAAACACGGTTGGTTTTTTTACGTACCACTTTACTTGTACCAACTTTGAAACAAAATTTAAACTCGGACAGTTCTAGTTTATCGTCCAACGCTGAGGGTAATTCTTCCAGTTGAATCAGGAAGAACGTCAACTCCTCGATGAGTTGATCAAAGTTTCGTGTCACGGTGCGAATTTTCTGTGTTTCGGTCATTTCGTTAAAGATTTCCCTATAAATAAAATTATTTCAGTTAATTTATACTTCGCACATCATTTCTGAGATAATTACTTTTTGCTCATAAGAGCTTCAAGTGTTCCACTGACGATTTCTTGCAGAGTACGACATTTTAGAATCTCTCTACTATGCAACAGATTGCACAGTGTCCTGGACAAGAGTTCACTTGCGTCGCTATTCTGCTTGATTTGGTGCGGTGCCAGTAATTCAAGGACTTTCACCATCGCTTTGTTTGTATCGCGAACTAGAGCTGTTAGTGTATCAAAGATTGATTCGATCTACAAAAATTATATTTTAATTTGAAGTTGATATTATTTAATTTAAAATGTTTTTTACCTCTGGGACTAGAAACATGGCGATTTCTTGACGTTGCGCCGGTGTCATGCCGCTGAATGTGCGTTTAATCGCTTGGAAAAATTTGAGGACCTGTGTTACCAATATCGGCACCCGCGAATTCGCGTACAAAATGATTTCATTGCGTTCCTCGCGCGTTAGCTCGCTTTTTCGTTTGCAAAACAAGTCGCAGAGTAACAACATCTTGGCACAAACTAAAATTAAGTCATAAAATTGACTAAAAGAATAAATATTTAATATTAACACTTACCAACAGCTGTATCACGCAGAGCTTGTTTAATAATGTAACACAAATGACCAGGACTTTCTTCCGCCCATCCGTTAGGCCCTTTTCCGAGGTCTTCACTCGACGCCGAATTGAAATTCACAAAGTGCTCTATCACTCTATTAATAGACGCGTGCATCTCATTGACGAGCTCGATGACTTCTGCAATACAAATGGCTTATTTAAATAAATTATTGCGTGCAATAATAAACGTGCACGTACGTTTTTTAAGCGCATTGTTCTTAAGAAAATTTCGACATGAATCGCTAAGCTTATTAAGACACTCGTAGGTTGAGATAGCTTGGATGACTTGTTCGGCAGTAGTGTCGTCCATCGAGCTCGGCAGACACTCGGAGTACAAAAAATGTAATATCGTGCCGAGCACGTTCTCAGGTAGGCATTGCAGCGGCGATTGCGGCGCGCACCAATCGATACTATCGCCCAGCAATTGCAGTATAATCGAATGTGTCTCGAATTGTTTCTTATTCGCCGATGTAATAGTCACATCTTTAAAATATCCCTCCTCAAGCGCCGGCAACAATGAGAAAGGAATATCTGCGGCGTCGTTATGTTTTACTTCCGCAATTCGATTGCAGTGCATTTGACACCAGCCATTACAGAATAGCACTATCTGATCCATCTTGTCACTGAGTCCCCTATGCTGCATACACTAAAATATCATGTTTTATGGTAAAAAATAAGCTAAAACATTGAAAAATTTACTGAGAATTCAATGACATGGCCTGCAAACGCTCCAAAACGCAGCCGTAAATAAATGCCAACACAAGTCCGAGTGGTGCATACTTCATAGGTATCACAAGCAAACAATGGTACATTGCTGAGTTCGGCACCAACCACCCAGTCAACATTTCCAAGCTCATCCAGTGTGAATCGAACACTGCAACATGATTCTGACAGTTAGAGATTGTAATTTATGTTTGTCAATACGACCCACCCTTCCAGGCCTTTGGTGTCACTCTCGTTTTCGTATTGGAACTTCGTGACCTAAAACGCAATGCAACGCTTGAGATAACATATTTGTTTATTTACATTTGGCTGCTTGCTGCTGATTAAATGATTGCAACATAAATTTACTACAAAACTATGATGGGTGATGGATGGATAATGATAAATTGGATTTATTTACCTCCCAGGTTCCTAGAAAAGTACGCACTGCCATTGTTTAACAATTTACAATTAATGAACAACACGCATTTTACACAATCAACCCCCCACGAATGTTTGTCAGCTGCGGACACTGCATGCAAACAGTGTACGTGAATATGTGTCACATGTAGATGGCACTCGCACCTGGTTTTCAATTGTTTTACTTGGTAAATATTGCGAATAGATGTCGCTAGGTGTATCAATTCATGGCGGAAAATTAGTAATAAATCACATTGTTGGTTGGAAGTAGAAATTGTTTAATATACACGTATTAAAGTATTATACCTCTCGTAAATTCATTGCAACTATAACAAAATGGTAACACACATTGACAAATGAGCGAAATTATTAATCAAATAATCATCCACAAAATTAGTACAGTTTTCAAAGTATTGCGTAATAGTAACCATGACGTTCCGTTTCGTTTACATCGTTTTGCATATACAAAATTTACAATCGTATCGTCAAAGAATAGAGAATAATACAAATAAAACGAGAACCCATTTTTTCAAAACACCTGAATTCGATGGTTCTCACGATCGCAGACGAGAATGTTGCCGTTCGATGCGATCGCGACGCCTTCTAATCCCTTGAATTCGCCGTCGCGCGTTCCCCAGCAACCGAACTCCTTCAGGAACGTGCCGTCCGGGTGGAATATCTGTATGCGGTTGTTCCCGGAATCAGCTACGCATATGTAACCTTGATCGTCAACTGCAACGCCTCTGTAACAGCCACATGGGATTTATTATCAGTATATTAATAACAACTCGCGTGTGGGCGTTTGATGATGAATATGTCCGCCAGTGTCTATTACACGATTGGCACGTGCGGACGATGCGCATGAAAATGTTACACGTGATGTTGATGTAGATTAGAAACTCATCGATTTCGGTATTTTTATCGCTCGACCTTTAGGGGATTGATTTAATGTGTGGACACAATACCTGGGGAATTTAAATTGTCCTTCGGCTGATCCCTCGCTGCCAAACGCAGACAGCACACGTCCGTTTACGTCGAAGATCTGCACGCGATGATTATTGCAATCTGATACAACCACACGATTCGTATTCGATACGGCGATGTACTGGGGATGTTCGAGCTGTCCTTGCTTGTTGCCCATTGTGCCGAATTTACCGACAAATGTTCCATCCGATTGGAAAACCTACAAAGGAAAAATTACAGGTTTGGAGTTAAAATTATTGCATTGTCAGCGACCTCAAGCGGTGAATAGTCAAAACTTTATATTCACTATTAAAATGTCAAAAAAAATTTTACTTACTTGAACTCGATGGTTCTCCTTATCACAAACATAAATAAAACCTAGCGCGTCCGTGGTAATACCCCAGGGATAATTAAATCGCCCGTCCGACGAACCCTGACTACCAAACGATCTCAAAAACCTCCCAGAAGGATCGAATACCTGAAAATACATGCATATTGATGATATGTAAATGCGATGATGTGTTACACTCACTTGTATCCTATGATTGTATCGATCGGCGATAATGAACTGACCGATGCGATTGACGGCGACGCCGGCGAGGCAATCGAACTCACCCTCGCCGTTGCCGTACGTCCCAAACTCCTTGAGGAACTTGCCGCTGGCGTCGAACACCTGCACGCGATGATTCGACGAGTCTGCGATGACGATGGTGTTGTCCGGGCCGACGGCGACGCCGCGCGGCCACGTGAAGCATCCGGCTTCGCTCCCCCGACTCCCTATCTCAAACAGCTTGCGGCCTTTCTGCAGGTACTGGCTTCTAGGGGAAGTACCTGCTGTTGCCACCGCGATACCTAAAACGGCATCAAGCACACACACACAAGAGGATATCAATTAAGTGCAAGGTTTTAACTGCTAAGGTTTTAAGGTTAACTAATAATATGTATCGTCCGCCATTTAAATAATATTGAGGTTATGACCTGTAAACTATTCAAACAACGGTCGAAGAGTTTAATTTAGGACCGGAGGAATGCGACTATAGAATTGGTATGACTTCTACAGTCGTCCAGTGATGGTGCAATGCTTAAAATCAGAATTTACGAAGAAAACAAAAACGAAGCAATGTTTGACATGGAAAACAACGTGAGGAAAAGCAGAGCGAAGAGTAAATCAGATGAGAAGTAGCACTCACCGGCTGCTGCCGCTACTGTAGCTGCTGTAGGGGTAGTGGGGGAGCCTTGCATGTTTTTTGAATCGTCATCGGAGCTTCCCATTTCCGTCGACGACCGCAGAGGCAAGCCGAGTGATAGCCGCCTTGCGGCAGCGGAACTGCTCGCAGACGAAGGCGTTGCACTTCCGCCATCCTTGTCCTTACCAGTGGCGCGATTACCGTATTTGTTCTTCAAGTATCGCGCCCAGGAGCTGAGCGCCGCGCCATCCTTCTCGGTACCGGGCGATGGGCGTTCGGGCGAGCTCTCTCTGGATTTAAGCGCGTGCGAGGATCGGCTGCGCGCCAGATCGTTCATTGCCGATGACGACGCCGATCCGTATCCCCTCGAGGCGAGATAAGCGCTCGGATTTGTCGACGTCGGCGACAATTGCTCCTCGGTATCATCATCGTCGAAATTATGACTGGACTTGCTCCGCGCCAACCTCTGCCGGCGTTCTTTCATCGCCATATAACGACTGCGACTCGTTGGATACTTGCTGTCATCATCGAAGGAAGAATGGTACTTGGAGTCGTCTTCTTCGGGGGCCACCGCGGCGGTGCTCTTGCTCTTGTTGAGGAAGCGACTGGTGTAGCCGTACTTAGGAGTGTCATCTTCGTATGTGGGGCGTGTGCGTGTGCTGTGTGTCGAATATTTGTTAATTGGTGGGTCTTCCTTAGTACTATATCTTGACCGTCCATACCCGGTGGTGTCATCCCTGGTGGTTGTTGTTGTTGTCGTGGGCTTGCGCGACGAGTCAGTGCTGTTGTCACGCGCTAGTTGACTCCGCGCTAACAACGGCGCAATATCACTCTTTGGTGGTTCTTTGGGCTCGACTTTCGGTGTGGACTCTTCGGATTCACTGTCGGAAGAAGTCTCCTCCTCACTGCTGGTCTCGGTCTCCTCCTCTTTGGTACTGGCTGGTGGTGGGGTGGGTGTGGTTTTGTTCTGCAAGAAGCGACTCTGGAAGGGTTTGTCCTTACCGCTGTTGGACCCCGTCGAGGACTGGCGGGTGCGCGAGGGAGCGTCGCCACTATGGTCAACGCTACCGCGCGCCAAATACTTCTGCTTTACCTCTTCAGCGGTGTACGCCGCGCCGGTATTACGCACTGCCGAACCACTAGACTCGCTCGATGTTGATGAATCCGAACTGGTTGAACGTGTGGCTTTTTTAGGTTCCGCGGATGTGCGACGTGTGGTCGCGGTTTGCGCGGACGCCACCGACGGTTTCACCGGCGTCTTGCGCTGCTGGGGCGCGGATGTTGATTCGTCCGACTCGTCTTCGGCACTCGTGGTCGCCTACAGGAAAATAAACAAGCGGAAAGTGATTAAGGGACACGGACACTTAACACTGTCACGAAACAACAATAGGTGCGTCTGATGGCATGCTCCACAAACAAAAATTCACACCGATACAACGACAAAAATCGGTTTTACATCGTCCATTTTTATCTGATTAGTTTTGATATTAGTAAAGAAATGAAAATGAATTGTTAAAGGATTAGTAGATCTAGTTTTATCGTCGCATGTAAAATTGAGATGCACAAAAATGATGAACCCAAAAAAACTGTATCCCTTAAGTTTTCCGCTGGTTTACTTTCAGGCAAATATGTGACAAAGGTAACAATAGTCCATGACATTGGTCATCATGCTGGACCGACATTGATAGTTACAGAGAGCATTCACAATTACAGGTGCACACCAACACACACGTTATAACACAAACGGAAGGAGTCGTTTCAACTTGTTGTTGTATCGTTGTTCTGGTATTTGTTTCGGAACATGCCACAGACAGTGTGTAATTATTAAGTAATTTTTTTGGTGTTTTTTGTGTTTTTATATGGTTTTTAAAGCTACGTCACTAGATATTTTTTGTGTTTTTTTTTGTCGATGTAAGAGTTTTTTTAGAAAAAGATCTGATAACTCTAAATCAGGTACTGTATGTGTAGAAGTAGATTTATTCATCGGGACTCACCTCGGCGGGTGCCGGTGTCTTTCTGCTCGCGGCATGCGTTGGTCTTTCCTCCTCTTCACGCCTAGAGGTTTGTCTAGTGACAGTTGCAGGCGGTTCGGTTTCAGTGGAGGTGGTTGCGCCTTTATTCTGTTTTTTGATTTTAGCGATTTCATCCTCCTCGCTTTGCTGGCGATTAGCTGGTGGTGGTGGTCGTTTGGGTACCACTTTAGGTTGAGGTGGTTGTACTGATGGTACCTCTTTTTCCTTTTTCTTACCCCCACCACTTTCAGATTCAATTAATTTCTTCATGACTCTCGGTGAGTCCGCCAGACGTGTAATACCACTAAGTGGTCCTTTAGCAACGTCTTCTGTGTCAAGGACACGTTCCCGTTCTTTATGTTGTTGCTCATTGAATCGTACCCTACTGGTCTGTTCAGTGTCAGAATCATTATCTCCATGGCGGTTGTACCTGCTGCGATATCTAGACCTAGGTGGCCTTGAAGATTCTTCATAATCTTCTCCGTATTCAGTACCACCACGACCATAACGATCTGTATACCTATCTCCACCAGTTGTGGTCTTGGTATGACGCTCCCCAAACTTCCTTCCTGCTAATGGAGGTTCCTCTCCATCGTAATACCCTTGACGTTCCTCTTGTTGCCTAAATTGCGACGCTAAACGATGATCACTCTTGGATCTCATCAAACCAGGACCTCCAGGCACCTGCAGAGCGGTACCCTGTCCAAAGGGATTACTCGGATTGGTAATATTCAAATCCCCATAACCTGCCACGTGTAAAACCAGCTGATTGGGATCATGCGCCAGGACTAACCTAACTTTTCGGCTGTAATCCGAATTCTCATACTCAAAGTTCCTAATGAAATCAACAGTCTTCAAGAAGATCTCCTTGGCGTCCATCAACTCGCAGTCATCCCAAGGCACGTTCTCGTTAAAGTGCTTGTCGGCGAGGTCGCAGTTGCTGATGATGTTGGAGATTTCCTGCTCCAAGTTGTCCTTCAGAGTCGTCAGCGTGCGCACTTCGGTGGACATGTAACGATCCAACTCGCCGCGCAAGTGCTCGGTGCGATCCTTGACCGCTTTGGAGAGACGTCTGTAGATCTCCTCCACTTCCTCGGAAACAGACAAGCTGTTCGTCTGAATGCTCTGCGCGTTCTTCTCGACCATCGAGAGTGCATCCTGCAAGCGATGAATACCACGTCGGATTTGATTGTTGATCCTAACAATTTCCCTGCGTAGGATATCCATATGAGCACCTTTACATTCTTCACAGATCTTCTTCTCGCAGTGGGAGCATGGGCTGCAATAGGATTTCTCCGAGCAGACATTGCATCGTTCCATAATCTGCCCGCTGGTGGGATCCGGTAATTCGCCGGTGATCTCGATGTGTAGCTCCAGGAATCGCTGAAGGGTGACATTGGTTGGAAACGCCTGAATCCCCTGGTATGGGATGCGATGCTCTGCACGGCATTCGGGACATTTGACCTGCGGGAGATGCGTAAAGGACGTCCAAAAATATATTTTATTACTCTCGGCACACGCGATTTGGCAATAAGGCAAACTACAAGCGATAAATCGTATTCATTAATATATTTGTATAAAGCGAGCGTTATTTGTTCAGATGTGAGCGGGTTCAGTAGCATTTTTGATATAAAAATATTTGCGTAGGCCGGCCGGCCGGCCGATCGGAAAGTTCGGCCCCGCGTGAATATTTTTGGTCGATGATGCGATATGCGTCCTGCTCTAAGATTACCTGACGTCGCACGTAGTCCGCGAGCCCGTCCATGCACGGCTCCATGCAGAAGCTGTGCTGACATGGCAGCAATTTTGGATTTCTGTATCTGTCCAGACATATGGCGCAGGTTAACAGTTGTTCAAACTGCTCCATCTTGACTTCGGCGTGTTTTCACTGAAAGAATAATACACTTTTATTTTATCAACGGATACTTTTGAAGATAAAACGGTGTTTGGTTACATTCGATTATAAGCGAAACAAAACCGGCATTTCGAAATGTGCCATTCTCAACGCGACTAAAATTAACGCCTCTTGCTGAGCGTGCTCTGCGTCACCGAAAACTAAATTAAGACCTTCCATGCGTGTTGTGTGCGCGTGTGTTTTTTCTCCACGAACGGCACGCGCGGAATACGCGCATCTAGGCGTAAAGGTGAATTAAAAATACGACTTACACTTTTTCTTCAGTCCTGTCACTTGACTTGCACTCTGTGACTTATCGCAGTAGAAAATAATACTTGAATGGTGTCTGACTGGAGAATAGTCAGGATGCGATTTGAGATTCGGTGTTGATTTTGAGATGGGCGCGCATATCAATGCCGGTACCGTGTGTGCGCGACTAACGCACGCTCGAGATGCGTTTTCGGTACACGCTCGCCGCGGCTCGTCGCGACGCTAACGACGCCGACGCTTATATCGCGGTTGCTATTTTAAAATACGCGCACTGTACTGAATTTCACGCACACAAGCATCACGTGAGTGTATACCTGCTTGTATCACGGATATCGACACATCCGCCATCTTGAATTTTACATTCAACGAATGAAACGCACGCTTTATCACACATTTTACACCTACGGAATGATGAATAATAAATTTGGCAAGTTTTACGTTTTCTAGAAAATGAAACTGTTTTTTGCAACCTACGCTAAAACTGAAATATGTATTAAAAAGCGTATTGGTTTTGTGGAAATTCTGAAATCCGAATGCATTTCGGGGCGCATTGTGTGAATGTGTTTGTTTTTAGAATACGCGGTTCATCACTTCGTTGGTTCGTTGGACAAACAATTTGTTTGTTCGTCGGGTTAATTTTTTCCTGCGTGCGAATTGAACGCAAAGCATTGTGGTGTATTTTTTTCGCCTGCGCGTGGATATTTTTTCCGTGTTTTTTTTCTGCGTTAAGTCTGTCTGCGGTTTTTGCTAAATCGAGAAATGCGTCCGAAATACGCGCGGAAAAAGCGCTATTCACGGTCACGTTTTATTTTTACACTTTGTTAAGACAAGTGCGTGGCATAAATTCGCCAAAGTGTATTTTAATCGAAGGATGAACTTTTGCGCAATGTGGATTATATCAAATCCTTTCATTTTATTCCAAAGGACGTGTTTCTTTTATTTGTTCTTGGACTAGTTTTATTTTTATAGAGGTTTGTGTAATTGTATAGGTTATTGTGATTAAAATGTTGTTTAGTGTCGCCCTCTCATTGTCAAAAGTAAAAGCTTTAGTTAAAGATGTTTTACAAGTAAATTTTGAGGTTAATTTTAAAAAATTCAAAAATTTTATTGGTTTTTAATGCTAAATAGCTTTTTAGTGTCGCCCTCTTACGGCAAAAAGTGAAAGTTTTAGTAAAATATGGTTTTACAAGTAACCTTTGAGGTTACTTTTGAAAAAAATGTGAAAAATTCTAATAAAATCATGAAATATTATTATTTATGTAGAAAAATGCATTAAAATTGCAAAATTTATAGGTTATTAATGTAAAATAGCTTTTTAGTGTCGCCCTCTCCTGGTAAAAAGTGAAAGTTTGAGCAAAATATATTTCTACAAGTAAATTTTGAGGTTAATTCAATACAATCGTGAAAAAACACGAATAAAACCATGAAATATTGTTGTTTATGTAGAAAAATGCATGTTTCGCCGATAAAACGCTTTGATTTTGTTGCGCAAAGTTGGAATTGCATCGGAAACATTAACTAGTATGTTCGAACATTACTGTAAATTCTTGTTCGCACAAAAGACGTGAACGGAAAAACAGCGAGCGCACAAAGGACGCAAATTGCTACCGCATTTAGAAATCTCTACAGGAGCACAAAAAATGCTGCACGCTGTTAGCCCCGCTCCCTTCCAGTTCCAATTTAATTAACGCCGCCACGGCGTAAATTAATTACAAACAATTTTAAAAACAGCAAACAACCGCCGATTCTGCCCGTCGTGGGCATTGAATCGAAGCGAATTCGAAGCGGAATCGATGTTATCGCTGCGAGTTTTATACAATTTTATTATTTCTGTATTTTTTAACGGCGGCCATTGATCAAGCACCAAACACTGATTGCTCGTTTGTTCGCAAAAATTACATATCAGGGGAAAACGACTAATAACATAGAAACGCAGGTTGATATAACCTCAAAAACCAAAATAACCTAAAAATATTTTTACAGGTTATGTTAGAAACATAGGTAAATAAATCGACTATATTTACAGGATTATTTCCTTAAGTGTATTCTGATTGAGTGACAAGGTGCATGCGATACGTTGTGGCCCGCACGTAGGAAGCATTAATGACACGACATTTTCGTGTAAGTTGGTATTTTTAGCCACTTGTGGAGAGAATGATATTCATTATACGTGCTTATTCAAGCGCAATAACTTAGAGCTGCATAAATCACGCTATTTTTATATTAAATAACTTTCACGACTTTCGATACTAGTCGGAAAACATTTCATTTACATTTACATTTACGCCCAGGAGAGAAAAAAAGTTATAACAGGTTATATACATTATAAACGTCGTGAGAGCACCGTGAGGAAAACAGGAGTTTGCAGTTTGCATGGGAACAACACTATTTATAAAACTACAGAATTCCGCATCCACTCAAATTGCCGGTTGGGAGTCGCGACCCAATTACCAAAATAAATAAAACGCTTTGAAACTAATGGCGGGCGGTATTGGAAAAGTTTTGTGAGGAAAAAATAAACAAAGGTTTATGTAGTCTTAATAAGCAATTTGGATTTATTCTAACTAGTGGTTAGTGGTTATAAAATCGAATTGATGTTTAATTGTTTGTTTGTGACGCTTTCAAGTAGGAACTACTTAGGCAATTTTGATAAATTTTAGTATAAATATAGTTTAGATCATGGAAAAGGTAATAGGCTACTTTTTATTGCAAAAAATTTACTGGAAAGACGTTAAATAAGGGTTGAAAGTTGATATGAACATTTATCAATAGTTTTAGTAACATAATTTGAACCTAGATGGCGCTAAATGCGCTTATAAGTTTTAAATTTCTTCTGTTTTCAATATTAAGCTAATTTTTATTAAATTGCGAACGAAACTTAATTATTAACAATGATTAATTCCAATATTGGAAAATTAAATTTTTAAACGATAATAAAATTGATGAAAATAGCATGCGAAGCACGAATGCGCATCAAAGAAGTTGTGTCCCCGAAGTAGACTTTCATTTTGTTGCGTCAAAGTGATAATTATAACCTGAGGGTCTCCGAGGACCGGACGCGCACCGGACGTCTTCACGCCGAAAACTTTTCGCAACACTCGCGCACATTCGCAATCCCGTCACGCTTCATCCGTGGTCATCCGGCCGTTTTTCTTTTTCGTCCTTTTCGACAAGCCCCTTGACCATTCGTGCATTCATCAGCAGCCGGTTTTCAATTTTTCTGATCTTTTCAGTAAACTGCCCTTCCTATCGATCATATTACACAAATGTTCAATATGCACTCGAATATTTCTTATATTTTTCTAATATAAATTTATTTTTATCACGTTTTTTGAAAAAATCAAAGAATATAAAAATTAGTTTTGAAAAAATCTTTTTTTGTGATTTTTAACTTTTGGCTTCTGTTTTTCACGTTTTAAAGAATTTTTTTAAATAAAAAGTAGTCTATGTCATTCTCCATGGTCTAATCTATCTCTATACCAAAATTCATCAAAAAATATTCAGTGGTTTTAGCGTGAAAGAGTAGCAAACATCCATTTTGTCCGTTATACTAAATAATACTATGCTTTGCGTTTGGTGCGTGCCCTGGCACTGTACACAGTACAGTGTGAGGTAATTAAAGAATATGTACGTTTTTGTCTCGTCTCGGTATCTAATGGCGTTAACAGAGTAGACAATGCGCTTTTTATCGAGGCGCGCACAAAGCGTTTGAGACTTGCGGGCACGTTCAATGGACTTTCAAGTTCGCGACGAGATGCGCGCACAGGATTAAAAAGAAGAGTCGCGTGCAAAACACGCCGAGAAAGCCATTAAGCAGAGACGCTTTACAATGCGCCAGCGCGGAGAGAATTCGAGCGCACGATAGCCGCTGCCGTTATCATATACTTTTTGAAACTAACATTTATGGAGCATATTAAAAATCTTTTTATTGCGAAAAACGCTAGTTTCTTTAGAAATGTTTTAGAGTTTGTTGCAAAATATAAATAGGAGATTATTAATGAATTTTGTTTCAAGGAGAATACTTATTTTTGTTTAATTAATCATTGTTTGAGTTTTGATATTATTATCGAGCATAATAATTTACATTGAGGTGCTTTTTAGGGATGCAACCAAGTATACAGCTATTACAATAGAGAAAAAAGGGTGTATATGTGTTTGCCTATTAGCAATATTGTAACTTACGTATTGTTGTGTGTTTGATTCGTTATAACTTTTAATCCACTCAACCAATTTTTTCAAATTTTTGTATAGAGATAGATGAGACCTTGAAAAATATCATAAACAACTTTTTGTAGTGAAATATTAAGTTTTTAGGGTGTAAAACAGCATATTTAAGTATAACATAGTAATAGTTATATAATTTAAACCGAGATGGCGCTACGAAGCTCATTTTTGCTGCTTACGCGCTTGAAAAGTCTAAAACTTATTATTTTCTGGATATTTATATTTATGTCCAATCCTGAAGTACTTCTAATTTGAACCCTGTCTTGTTGCATGTAGTAAACCATTACTACTTCAATTAGTTTTGTTTATTTCGAAATTCATAACATTACATTAAATTTTCAGCGACCTGGTTTCGCAAAGTGCGAATGACAAATGATGAAGTTGTTTGCAGATAGCAAGTACGAAGCGTAATAAATATATTCCGACGTCCTTTGAACGTGCATTTTGAATGTTGCAAAGAACGCGGAAACAAAATCGTGCACTACCTACATAATAGTTATTTTCGGATTTTAGTCAGAACAGATACACTTCCCAAAAAAACCATCATCATTTTCAGTCAAGTAAAATAATTATTTTATACTTACATATAAAAAGAAAAATTCACTTCTATGAAGAAAAAAAATTTTAAAGGAAAAAAAAAACAGAAAAAAAAAACGTTTATCCGAGGCCCTTGGAAAGGGCTCCTTCTGCTTCACCTCTTGATTGCGGTTGAATGTAAACCTGCAAACAAAACACGAGTTAATTTCAGCAAACAATACGAAATTAAATAATTTACTAATAAAATATCAATATCAGATGAAGCGCAAACGACGCAAACACACCGCATGATTAATTCGTTTGTACTCGCATATATTTGGCGTGAATAAATATAATTTACGTTTTAATCATCAATTTATATTCCATTTGTTACACTAAACATTCGCTACACCATAATGTTGATGCAATTATTGCCATA